AACAGCAGTTCTTTAGTCCTTTGTTCTTTTGGTGATGATTCTTGCTTTCCCTTCCAGAGCTAAAGTTGCAGACAAGATCCAGCTGATCAATAATATGCTGGACAAAGTCAATGAAATGATTATCGGTGGTGGAATGGCCTTTACCTTCCTTAAGGTGCTCAACAACATGGAGGTAGGAACCCGATGCCAAGTAGATGTGAAATAGCTCTCCATGAGAAATAGGTTTATATAAATTTAAAACAGAAATTAGCTTATGGCATGAGCCCTAAAAACTCCCATTTTTATTTATTTTGCAAGTTGTTTTTCTTTTGTCTTAGAATTATTCCTTTATATTGTGTTGTATTTCATACTGTCTGCTTTGTGAGGTAAACACATTCTTAGAATATAGGCTGATCTTCATCATCTTGACTTCCCTATATAGATTGGCACTTCTCTGTTTGATGAAGAGGGATCCAAGATTGTCAAAGACCTGATGTCCAAAGCTGACAAGAATGGCGTGAAGATTACTTTGCCTGTTGACTTTGTCACTGCTGATAAGTTTGATGAGAATGCCAAGACTGGCCAAGCCACTGTGGCCTCTGGCATACCTGCTGGCTGGATGGTGAGTCACTTGGGTGGTTGGAAGTATGAGTGAACAAATACATTTTGGTATCATTCATTCAACCAATAAAAAATTAAAGGAAGTTCTCCAAATATTGCAGTGAGCCCTTCCTTCAGGGAGAATCCATGGGGTAAAAGCATGGGTAAAAGCTAAGACTTTTCATTTGAAAAGTGAGGGCAAAACTGCTTTTTGTTTCTTCATCTGTTAAATGTTTATTAAGTACTTAACCGATTGCTGTGGATGATGCTATGTACTTTCATAGTTTGGGCTGTTCTGTTGGATTATGTTGGACTAAATATTATTTCTGCCTAGAAATCTGTATAAGAATTTTTTTGTATATGAAAGCATTAAGGTAGTACAATTATTACAAGCAGGGAAAAATCTATGTGTATATTAAGAACTTATTTAAATAGTTGATTATAGTACTCTCCATTTGTTATCGTTCTAATATCTGTACAAAATTGTTAATGTTGACATACTACTTTGCTTAGTCACTGTCCTTCTGTTAGGCATGTGGCTTTAAGTGTGGTTCCAAGAACAGCAGCATCATTTTGAAGCTTGTTAAAAACTGTAAATTCCTACCCCCTTCTCTCAACCTGCTAAAGCAGAAACTCTGGGAGTAGGGCCCAGAAATTTGTGCTTTAACAAGCCATCCTGGTGATTCTGATGCACCATAAGGTTTGAGAACCACTGATCTAGTTTAGTGTTTTTCAACCTCAGCACTATTGATATCTCAGGTAGTTTTAGTTATGGAGGGCTGTTGTTGCATTGTAGGATGTTTAAGGAATCTTTGCCTACTAGATACCAAGTAGCAACCCCCTACCACCTCTAAATCATGACAGCCAAAAATGTTGAGATATTACCATATGTTCCCTAGGGAGGGGTGGAATTGACCCTAGTTGAAAACCACTGAGCTAGTTACAATCATAAAATAATGTGGCTAAAAATGTTTTTATCAAATAACTTTTGAGGTTTTCCCTTAGACTTGATCTTCCATAAAGGATATGAACAAGTTTGTAATTTTAAAGAATGAAATGTCTCTTGTATCTTAAACTCTGGTATTCAGCCTTGAGTTCTGGTCTTGGTGGAGATGTGGTATTTGCTCCTAAGTAGCTTTTCTTGGTAGCTCATCCTCTCTTTTTAAATCTGCCTCTTAGGGCTTGGATTGTGGTCCTGAGAGCAGCAAGAAGTATGCTGAGGCTGTTGCTCGGGCTAAGCAGATCGTGTGGAATGGACCTGTGGGTGTATTTGAATGGGAAGCTTTTGCCCGAGGAACCAAAGCCCTTATGGATGAGGTGGTGAAAGCCACTTCCAGGGGCTGCATCACCATCATAGGTAAAGGGTCCTGTACAAAGCTAATGCCATGTGAGCTGGCAGAAGATCAGAGGAAAGTAGAGGGGAAATAGTTCACTTTTCCTAGGTTCCTTGGTGCCGGGTGGATCTTGAAAGCTAAGTGGGTATATGATTCATGGAGAAACCTGTAAAGGAGATGGAGTTGGGGGGTTATCAGTTACCTTTTGGGCTTGAGAGCACAGTGCCTTATAATTTTGGTGCCAGTCTTTTTTCTCTTCTCTCCTTCCCCCTTTTTATTTGGTTTTCATTCAACAGGTGGTGGAGACACTGCTACTTGTTGCGCCAAATGGAACACGGAGGATAAAGTCAGTCATGTGAGCACTGGGGGTGGTGCCAGTTTAGAGCTCCTGGAAGGTGAGGATCTTTAATGTTTTTGGCTTATTTGGGGGAATGACAGGGTTTATGCAGTAAGAGTTAAGTAGAATGGAGTGGAGACAGTAGGTTGTAGTGTTGTCATTAGAAGTCATGGGCAGTACAAATGGAGGAACTTCAAATAAAGCTCCTAGGTTCCATTTGATGTGGGGAGGGCCAGATGGGAAGATCTTTATTCTCAAAGAGGTTATACACTAGTACACCTGGGGCCCAAAATGTAGAAGTTACTTAACTCCTGGCCATATATCCTAGACAAGAACTGCTATGTTATTGGGAAGATAGGAGGGAACAGATCTGTCTTAGTGGATCTTATAGTAATGCTGACCGTGTGTGTGTGTATGTGTTCTCTCAAAAACAGGTAAAGTCCTTCCTGGAGTGGATGCTCTCAGCAGTGTTTAATACTTTTCTGCCTTCTTGTTCCTGTGCATAGCCCCTAAGTCAACATAGCATTGTCTGCATCTCTACTTGGCATTAGCTAATGTCTTCCCCCTTGTCAATAATCAGCTAGTGGCCAAGAGATGTAGTGCCAGGAACCCTCAAACAGTTGCAGAACATCTCAGCTCATCTTTGCTGTACCTGGGAATTTCCTACCTTCTTTAAGATCCCATTTGAGTTTCTTAGAGACTAAACCGTTGTGCATTCTAGAGTACATATATTTATATTATGCCTGTTAAAGAAAGTGGGCTGTGTCAGCTTAGTTCTCTTTCTGAAAGTAGCTTATTCTGATTAGCTTTGTCATTGTTTCACCACTCAGCATGGAAACAAGATGAAATTCCAATTATTGGTATGGAGGGAGATGAAGTTGGTGATACATTAAATAAATAAAAAGATCCATTGAAACTGGATTTTTTCCTGTCATATTTTGTTATTTAGGATGAGAACAGAATCTTGAGGAAGGGATCAGGTCATCTATGTGCATATTTCTAAGTAACATGCTTAAACTGTTGACATCTCGATTTCCTAAACAAGGTATCTGTTAATTTCATACATGGGGAGATTAGCTCCCTTATAGCCTCTGTTCCGCATATACTTCCCCTATTTGATTCTCCCAGTATCAGTTCAGTTCAGGTCACTCAGTCTTGTCTGACTCTTTGCCACCCCATGAACCGCAGCATGCCAGGCCTCCCTGTCCATCACCAACTCCCGGAGTCCACCCAAACCCATGTCCATTGAGTCAGTGATGTCATCCAGCCATCTCATCCTCTGTCTTCCCCTTCTCCTCCTGCCCTCAATCTTTCCCAGCATCAGGGTCTTTTCAAATGAGTCAACTCTTCGCATCAGGTGGCCAAGGTATTGGCGTTTCAGCTTCAACATCAGTCCTTCCAATGAACACCCAGGACTGATCTCCTTTAGGATGGACTGGTTGGATCTCCTTGCAGTCCAAGGGACTCTCAAGAGTCTTCTCGAACACCACAGTTCTGTCAGAATTTGAGATTTAATTAATAGAGCCTACATTGTGATTATAACTACAATTCACAGCTTACTTATGCCATGATTATATTTCCTTATATACCTTTTTTCTTTGGAGTTAAAAGTTTTAAAAATTGGTGTCTTTTTTTTCTGTCTATCACTGATTCATTCCCAACATGCTCAAATGTACCAGTTGGTTCTTTTTTTTTTTGGCTGCACTGCGTGGCATGTGGAACTTCCTAAGCAGGGATCAAACCTGGGTCCCCTGCAGCCAGAAACATGGTCTTAACTGCTGGACCACTGGGGTAAGTCCCAGTTGGCTCATTATTAGAGATGTCCCTTCTGGAGTCCTTTGTGTTCCTGTTCCAGTTTGTCCTGGATGCCCCCTAGGTTGGCTGTAGAGCTGTTGCCCTGGGGTTTCTTTCCAGAGGAAATCTCTCTGGGGTAACTCTTGGGGATTCCTTTAAACTCCTGTATAGGGCCTTCCCTTTCCTGTATCTCTTCCCCTCCCCACCCTTTCTTTTACTCTTCCTTTTGTGAAACACAAGATTCCACTAGCTTTATGAGAAATTGAGTGCCTAGGAGGCAAAATTTTTATATGTCTGAAGATATCTTTATCTAACTCTTACATTTGTCTGTTTGGTTATATGTAGAATTTCAGCCTACATAGCAGTTTCTCAGAATTAGAGGCCGATTCATTGTCATTGCCGAAAATCTAATGACACTATTAAAAGATCAAAGTAATTCCAATGACATGATTCTTTTACTGTCCTTGTAATTGTCCCTCCTTTCTCGTTCCTGTCATTTTAATGGAGTTTGAGGAATGAGCAGAGGTAAATGTACTTTCAAAAGGTCGTGTTTAACCTGAATTTTTCTACTGGGCGTTTAACATACTAGAGTATATATTTCACCTTTATGGATAAAGAGAGTTATACTATTGGCCACAATCACAGAGCCAGTAAGTAACAGCAGGGATTAAAGTCCACATTTGTTTGACTCCAAAGGCTGGTGATTTTTCATTGTGCCTCTCTGAGGTGATTACTGTAGATTATATATTTATATATAATATAAATATATATATATATATATAAAATTTTAATTGGAGGCTAATTACAATATTGTATTGGTTTTGCCATACATTGACATGAATCTGCCATGGGTGTACATGTGTTCTCCATCCTGAACCCCCCTCCCACCTATTTTATTAATATTAATAAGTATTATTTATTCTACCTTTTGCTTAACTGGAGAGAACAGCAAAAGAACATTTTGGTGGCTACTTCAAACAAAATTTGAAGGCTTGAATTTTTTTCTAGAAGTTCATTTGTATTTTAATACTGTCCTCATAGCTGTAGTTAATCTTAAAAAACACCATGTTTCTATATACCTCTAATAGTATGCTATAACCTTATTTGAAAAGCAGGAATTCTAGTACAATCTTTTTGTTGGTGAGGTCCAGTGATACTACCCGTTGACCCAGTGAATTAATGTCAGCAGGGCCAGAACTTCAGCCTACTGATGACTTTTCTCCTACTGATTACCTTTCTCCCAACATTTTATTTCAAATGTATAGAGGAACTGAAAGAATTGTAAACGCCCATAAACCTAAGACTCTACAACTGCCAATTCATCCATCTATCAACCCGATTGTACGAGTATTTTCTACCAGACTCTTTCCGGGATCTTTCCCCATTTATTTCAGTCATTAATCCAGAAAATGAATGGGGAAATGCCAGTAGCCAAATAAATACATGAGTACCTGCTACATGCTTAGGACATAATGGAGGCAATATAACACGTCCTAAAGGAATTTACAACTGAGTTAAGGAAAGCAGTACATAACAACTTACAAGTACATAAGGTAGAATTGAACAAAGATGTGCTTCCTGGTTTAATATAGAGTTAGGAATTATTGATAAAACACTGCAAAGGTTTAGGCTTAAGTGTAGCAAATTCACTTTTAACCTCCAGAAAACATCTATGCTGGTATACAGAAATTATAATCATGTCATAAATGAGTTCAGTGTCTTTAGTTCAGTGTTTCCAGCTTCCCTTATTTTCCTTTTTATATGTAAAACTTCCTTCTAGTACATGATACAAAAGTCAAAAAGGGGCACACAATGAGAAGGCCCCTTCGTACCCGAGTTCCCTAGCTGCCAGTTTCCCTTCTTAGAAGCAATCAAGCACTGTTAAGACTGGTTTCCTTCAATCTAGAGCTACTTAATGCATATACAACAGGTATGTGTGTGTGTGGGGGTTATGTATGGTGGTATGTTACACACTGCTTTCCTGACTAGTTTTTTTTTCCTTACCTCTTGAGTACTTCTCTTCACTCTGGACCCCTTAGGCCACATCTTCCATTCCCTGAATTCTGACTGTATCCCTATATTCTTATTCCAATTAAAGACACTTGTTTCCTACTTGTAGAAGGAAGAATTTAGGATGACAGTTACCTAATTTACTATAGTACATCTTTTAAAAAATTCCACCTAGAAGTGCTTCTGCCTGATGTCATTCTTGATGCTGGAATGGGCCAATGTAATTAGGAAAGGGAGATCTGCAAGATAAAGCAGTCTTTATCTGAAAGAGTAAACCACCCACTGGCTGGCTCAGTTAAATGTATAAATTCCCATTAAAGACAGCATGTGTAAATGGGAAGGAAATATCTGATTCATTGCTGTGCAGCAGAAACTAACACAACCTTGTAAAGCAACTATATTCCAATAAAAGTAATTTAAAAAGAGCATGTTATGTTATTAACAGATTTAAACCCATATTTTCTTTCATATTTATTTTGGTTTCATTATGACGAGTCACATGCTGATTCTAAATAAAAGCAAGCTATTCCTTGATTTATAATTCACTCATCCATTAAGCAAATCTTGTCTTTTGGATTTCAGAATTAATGGGCCTTGTTCATCCTCTTTGAATCCCTTAAATAAAATATGAGAAATAAGTTCAAGTTTTTATTAATAATCTTAGAACAAATATGTTAAGAATTCCTCAGTTATATAGCATTTTTACAATTCTGAAAGAACTTTGACATATACCAATTAAACCCTCACAACATCCCTGTGAGGTAGGCAGGGTTGGTGTCAGTTTCCTATTACTAGTGAGAACAAGGCTCATGGGTGAAATAAGGTCACACAGTTGGTTAGTGATGGAGCCAGGACTAGAACCTAGGCCTTTGACATGCTGCCTCCCTGAGAACATTCAAGTAATGACATCCTATGCTACATAATGAACATTTCTCCTATGATGATCAGATCTATTTTTATAAGTTTGATATCACCTTTTCCTATTATCCAAAATCACTGAATCACAGTTTTGATGAGACATTTCTTCCATGTTACTGGACTATTTTTCTTTGATGTATCAAGCACCATCCTAAGATGAAACTTAACCTGCGTCTTAAGTTTTGAGGATCTTTGGCTATAAGTTCTAAATTGTGATATGAAAGTTTATTTTAGAAGTTTTACAAAAGTATTCGCATGTTGAACATGTCAACTTACTTAACAAAAACAACACAAGCCTGTTTATGTTTTTGAAAGCTTTGTAGTTTTTCCCAATAAGGCGTTTAGATGTGTACAAGTGGAAAATAGGGAAAGGTATTTGGCAATATTATTGGAAAGCCTATACAGAGTACACCTAAATGCAAGTCACATCACACTAATTTGTTTGCTTTGGCCTTCTATAGGAAGGAAAACCCTTAGAAAACTTTCAGGTGTGATCCCATCTTATGTGTGACATTCTCAGCAACAAGCTGAAAATTGATCTGCATTATACCAATAGTAGGGTTCAAGCAGTAGTGATCAAAACATATATGCAGGTGGTAAAAAGGAAGAAAACATTTGCTCTTCAGTGGTTTTGCCTAGGTCCAGTGTAAATATACTTATCAAGGCAGATTTTAAGCTATACCATCTTCTGTGTTAAATTTTGAAATGTGAAATACGGTGGAGTTATCAACTTGGAATATAAGGTTGAAACTGAATATAACTGACCCAGAAACTACCTGTCAAAAGCAGAGGAATGCTCAAAGGGCATAAAAGGCAAGGGATAAAACAACTGCTCTGATATGGAGAGAAAAACAGCAAATGTAAATCTTCCAGTTAAAGTAAACCACAGACCATTAGGCATGTGAAACAGGTTTTAAAAATGACACAACTATATTATCAGGAGTTATATTCCTAACAGTCCAGTTTTAAAGAGCAATAGGGAGAAACCTAAGCCTGTGGAGAGGAGGTAGTGCAGAAAATGAATAGGATGTAGAAATGGGGCTGAGGAGGTGGGAGGTTACAGTTTAAATATATTAAAAATGAATTCAGAATCCGTTTAAATCCATCCCCTCCAAAAAATGTTTGCTAAATTAAGAGATTTGGTCAAAAAAGCATGTGATGGCAGAAGTGACTATTTTATCTTCAAAAGAAGTATTTAAATATAGATTAGAAATTAGGCTATTAAAGATTAGTCCACTGATCAGGCTTAGAAACTGAAACTTAAGTGCTACCTCAGATACACTGCAGAAAGCTGTTTCCAAAAATAGAATTACTGTAGCAGGAGTCAACATGAATGAAACCATTAAAAAACAAGCACTTAGCTTTTTATACTTTAAGCCTAGTGAAAAAACATTGGTACCCTTAAGAAATCTAATAGTTTAAACAAACGTGAAAAATACTGCAGCTACATTTAAGTTTTCTAAGATAAAACTTGAGATCAAGAATGTTCTAGTTTGGTATATGGATTCAGAACCAACTACAAGTTTGAAATGCATAGAGACTACATTGTATTTCTTACATAGTATCATTGTCATCATCATCTTCATGTTTCCTCTTCAGTGGGTTTGATTCATTGGCTGTGTTCTGTGATGAAACCATGTTGGTGGTAATAAGGATATTTTTGGGCCCAATCATTGAAGGATTAAGCAGAACATTCTGAACTGCAGTTGTTGCAGGAACTGTAAACAGAGGAGAAAACACACCCCAACTATGAACTACATAGAATCAGAAACATACGGCAAAAAGTATTCAACAAAGCTGAATGTAATTCTCATAATAATTTCTTTTTTTAAAAAGCTTTTAAAAATAACATTTCTTAAAAGTTAATGTGCATAAAAGAAAATAAAAAAACACAAGACACAAAAAACCAAAGTCATCCATAATCACAAGCGGTTTACTCTTTGTGTCCTAGGTCTCATTTGTGTATCTACAAAATTAAGCATCCACTTTTATGTAATTAAGACACTACAGTTATGTATATGTTTCTTCATATATCATGAATGTTTACCATTTCAGCATCCAAAAGCTATGAGTATTTTGATAACCAAGAATATACTACACCAACTCAATCTGGAAGGAAAAAATGTAATCCTGCTTTTCTTGGTGACAAAAATGTCATAAAAGATAAAGATGGCAACAGGCCTCGAGATAAAGATATTGGCAGAGTTATGATTAAAATACTACCTTCCCTTAATGTTCAATTAAAAAATGAGACCCAGAGCAATAGAGTACACAAAGTATAATGCTTCTAAGAGTAACAAGTATTCCACAAAGCTGAATGTAATTCTAATAATAATTTTAATAGTATGAAGTAAAATAAATAAATAATTTTAAAAAAGCATGAAGTAAAACTATCATAGAAGAAACTGAGGTGGTATACTGCATTAAGAGTTAAACTACATTTTTTAATGTTTCAAAGTACTTAATATCTAGTATAAGATTAAAGGAGCTCTGTTAGGGTTTTTTTTTTTTTTTAAATTTACCTACAATTTCAATTAGTACTTAGTCATGGGAAGCAGTAGACTGGATTCATCATGCAACATACTAAAGGCATATGTTCAAGATCAGGAATCATCCTTCCCTTACAGACCAATATGTTATATAAGTATTTTATGGTACACAGTTTCAGAAGATCTGAAATCTAAACTTATTCAAGAATAAACTATGTTAGAATTCTACTTATATTCAAACTTCCTATCTATACTTCCATGAATTGAATAAACATACAGTTTTCATTTGATATACACTAAGTTGTATTATTTTCTTGAGATTTAACACTATGTTGTTTGAGAATCTGAGGATCATGTTGAAATCTCTCCCTTCCCCCCAAAATGTTACATATGTAAAATTTCATACAATTTTAATGGGGTTATAGACCTCCTCTGATGAACCCTGATTTGCAGCATTACTGCCGTCTTCCTGTTATGATAGTAAAACAGTTCAATGATTGCTATGAGAATACAAACTGTTCAATAATGACAATCACTCACAAATTTTAAAATTCAGAAAAATTTAAAAGAACAACTTTCAACCCCCCATGCCCCACCCATCATGTTACCTGGTTTGACAGGTGTGGACTGAGAAGGTGGAATCTGCACCGTGAATCTTTGGCTTGTCACTGACACTGGAGGTGCAACTTTATTTGGGACAGATGCTGTTTGTGGGGTTGCTATAGTTGTAATTAACAGACCATGTTAGTTAGATGACTTATTATATAGGTTCAATTTCTGCTTTCCTTTAGCTTACTAGAAATTACCTTCAAAACACATGGAGTTAATGGAAGGTGAAAAAAAATCATTGGAAATAAGCACAAAGTAACTTCAAAAATGTTTACAAGTTCAATAGTTTAGATGCTAAAAATTCAGGATAGTATAGTGGTAAAGAATGTAGGCCCTGGAGCCTACCTGCTTGAGTTTGAATCCAGGCTTTATCACTGAGTGACCCTGGCAAGTTATTTAATCTGTTTGTGCCTCAGTTTTCTTATCTGTCAAATGGGGATAACAATACTTATTTCATAGGATTCTTGTGAAAATTGAATAATCCCTGTAAAACTCTTCACACAGCATTTGGCACTGAATTTAGCTACAAGAATTTGTGTAGCTGAATATTTAAATAAACTGCAGAATTAAAGGCCTAAGTTTTCTATTAATTACCTTATATGGCACTTTAATCTGTCATTTGTTGGGTATAAGAAGGTGTCTATTATGCCCATGAAGCTAAATCAACATGCATCTAACAAAAGCTTAACACACCTCCATCTCTAAGCAAGTTTTCCCATGTACTGAGGAGTGGCACGAAGAGTTTGGTGATGGATAATGAAGCAATATTTCATTTTGTCAGGAAAATTCACAGCAGGTGAATGTTTCTTTGTCCGTTACAGATTATAAAATCTCTAAAACATGTACAATACATGTCTAGGAATAAAAATCATTAACTGATAACTAAAACTGGTTAACTTGCTAACACATGTAACTGATTACCACAGCCTAGAGCTTTTAAAAAGTTGATATTCACTTTAGTAATATGAACCAACAGATGAACAGTATATGATCAAAAAGTTACAGAAATTATATATGCAAACTCCTGCCTATAAAGGACATGCATATAATTAGAAGTGTACAATTAATACTGTACCAGGCTGGTTTTAAATGCCGAAATGTGAATTCACACCTTGAAAATATGAAAGATTGTCTACCCATCTCAAAAATCAAATGCTGCTTACCCTAGAGCTATACAGCATCTATAGGATTCAAGTTATAAGCAATAAAAACCAAGAAATCACTACTGGTCAAAGAGAAGGGGATTCTTTTTTCTGAAAAGACTTTGACTGTGAAAGAAATCCAGCATGAATATAGAACAAAAAAACCCCAGGAAATCTAGATCCATTATTTATGTGTTTCTTATTATCTAAATAACAATGACATTATGGTTTCTAAATACCATTCTCTACTAAAAGGAATGAGGGTTCTTTGGAGAAAGGATGATTCTGGGACTGGGGTAAAGAAAATATAAGATGAGCTTGGAACATCTTGTGTCAGAAAGCAAGAAATGCTCAAAGAATGATGGAGACCTGTTAAAAATGACATAGGAGACAGTTCGAAGGGGTGCTCACTGACCAATACAGGATAATAGTACTACTTTTGAAAAGGTTACATTAAAAATAATTTTCTTTGATATTCTTAGGGCTTCCCTTGTGGCTCAGCTGGTAAAGAATCAGACTGTAATGTGAGAGACCTGGGTTTGATCCCTGGGTTGGGAAGATCCCTTGGAGAAGGGAAAGGCTACCCACTCCAGTATTCTGGCCTGGAGAATTCTATGGACTTTATAGTCCATGGGGTTGCAAAGAGTCGGACATGACTGAGCTTTGTGTATTTTAAACTTCTTTTGATTGCATCTCTTGCCAATTTACTCAGTAATTTAATTTCTGATAATAGGTAGGCTATTGCCATGAGTGAGTTTGGCAATTTCATTTGTATAAAAGCCAGAAAGAACACAGCTTAAACTTTTGTTACTGGTACCACAGTTAGTACATACAATAATGTTGAGTAACATCCAATTCTATCTTCATTTAGGATCAGATATTCCTTGTGGCTGTCTCATTTTGAAATCTGATAAAATATATGTTTACAGCTCTATTAGAGGATGAGTAAAAGTATTAATGGCAACACATATGGGAATTTCTGACTCCATTTTTGACTTGGACTGTAGTTCAAAATCAAGTGTTGGGGCAGTTCTTTACCAGCCAGAAAAGCCATTTCTCTCTCTCACTTACCTATGCTTGGAGTGGTGGGTCTGCTACTAACAGCTCCAACACTTAACCGTGGAACTAGTCGTCCTTGGTTAGGTCCCTAGGGGATTTAAAACATAAATTAGTTTTAATGTTGTTCAGACTTGACACCTAAACTTACCAGGAAATGAAATTAGGATTTTTGATGTGAATTATCAATGGATAACTGATGGCAAGAATGCCTTTTTGTTCAGTGTTCTAATGCAACATTTAAACTAGGGGTTTCACAAATACATACACACACATACACACCTGCACACTCACATAAACACAATAGAAACAATACATATCTATATCAACATGGGTATGAATATATATATATATATATAATATATAATTCTATATACTTTTAAAGTTTGAAGTAGAGTCTTATTTGGATATAACAGCTAACTTCCTTATGATTTTTGAATCTTAACTAGTTAATATCTTAACCCCAAAAGAAAGAAACTCCTTATAGTGGAATTTCAGAGGTACAAATGTAGCCCAACATGGGGAGAACTTTCACAGTGGTGGGAAAGCCTTAGGGCATATTTTGGAAAGCAAGTCCAGTGCCTGATGATTTATCATTTACTCTGTTATGGTGTAGTGTAAAGATTGGGAGTTATGAGACCTGGGAATAAGTACAAAAAAGATCTTCATGACCCAGATAATCACAATGGTGTGATCACTCACCTAGAGCCAGACATCCTGGAATGTGAAGTCAAGTGGGCCTTAGGAACATCACTACGAACAAAGCTAGTAGAGGTGACGTAATACCAGTTGAGCTATTTCAAATCCTGAAACATGACGCTGTGAAAGTGCTGCACTCAATATGCCAGCAAATTTGGAAAACTCAGCAGTGGCCACAAGACTGGAAAAGGTCAGTTTTCATTCTAATTCCAAAGAAAGGCAATGCCAAAGAATGCTCAAACTACCACACAATTGCACTCATCTCACACGCTAGTAAAGTAATATTCAAAATTCTCCAAGCCAGGCTTCAACAGTACGTGAACCGTGAGCTTCCAGATGTTCAAGCTG